TCTCTTTTGGAGAGGTCAAGAATTGGAGATAGACGTATCCAATATCCACAACTTCCCTTGGATTTTGTGGTTTATTTGGAAAGCCCGTAATAGGTTTTTATTTGAGAATATAAGGGTGTCACCTGAGGAGACCCTTCTGCTTGCTACTCATGAAGCAGAAGTGTGGCGGCGGGCTATGGAAGCAGATGCTTCGTCAGATCCTCCGCCACCTCCTTTGGTAGTCCATAGGCCCCTATCCTCCCCAATTCTAGAATGCCAATGTGATGCCTCCTGGCTGGATTCCGATCCCTTTAGTGGTCTTGGGTGGATCCTACTGGATGATAGAGGAAATTTCTCGCAAGGCCACTCTTGGTTTGGACTCAAGAGTGTTAGAAGGTCCCTCTCACCCCTTCATGCTGAATGGGATTCCCTTCTTTGGGCCATGGAGAGTATGCTAGCGCTTAGTCATTTCAACGCTAGCTTTGCCACGGATTGTTCGGATATCCTTGCTGTTTTGGAGGCGCCATCGGATTGGCCCACGTTTGCAGCTGAATATGCTTCCTTTCGTGATCTAAAGAATTCTTTCTTGGACTTCAATATCCGCCGTATCCCGAGAAAGGAAAACGGGCGCTCAGACTACCTTGCAAAGAAAGCAAGATGCCGTGGAGTTCATTTCTCCTACACAAGCACATCGGCACCTTCGTGGCTCTTCCTAGAGGAGAGTTTATTCCCGAGAAGCTTGTAATTTAGTTCTTTAGACGATAAAAAAAAAAAAAAAAAAATATATAAGTTCCTCTTTTAGCCTTTTTGATAGAGATTAGGGACGGAGATGACCAGAAAAATACAAGTCACAGTTAGGTATTGTATCTCCATATTAATTATGCATTAATGTATAGTGTAGTATCATAGAAGGGATTTGGACTCTATTTCAATTTTAGAAACTGCTAATTAATTAATTAAATTGGAGAAAAAAGAAACGAATCTGCATATTAAATACATCAAAGTCTTGCGAACGTTAAAAAACTACAATGATATATATAACTAAGGATGTTAGTATCGTTCATCATTCAAAAACAAACTCGAGATAGAATCATTTTTATACCACATACTATATTAGATATTAGATTTGAAACTTGTTATTTTCTTAGTTATATCATGGCTACCAACAACGTGGTCTTTCTTGTAGCGGTTGTATGCATTGTGGTTTCGGTAAATGCTCAAGTACGACAACCACACTTACCTTATCCATTTCCATTCGAACCTGGTATGCCAGGATTACCTAATATAACAAAATGTTTGTCAACGGTGATGAATATTCCTGGATGCATTGCTGAGATTTCTCAATCCATTGTCACTGGAAAGTTTGGTAACATCGGCCCGGCTTGCTGCAAGGCATTCTTGGAAGCTGAAGCTAAGTGTATCCCCAAAGTTCCGGTTAATCCGTTTTTCCCTCCTATGTTGAAAGAACAATGCTCAAGAATTGCTGGAGCAGTTCCTCCTGCCAAAAATTAGAATTCTTAAGATAGTTATAATGTTAAACCATTGTACGTTTTTTATTTATTTTAGTTGAACAATAAAGTTGAGTTATGATATTGTATGCAACGATATATTTTCTGGTAATTAAGATGCAATGATACATTTAAGTCACTTTTCAAGAGACCTCGAAATCATACTCTACAATGTAGTCACGTACGTACGCCTCATTGACTAAGTTTGCACGAAAGTTATTTCGAATGTACGATTCTTGTTTAAGAAAACACTCAAGTCACTCCTATCTGTGGTCTCTTGTCATATATATAGAGAAGCAGAACCTGAAGACTATAAAGAAAAAATAATAAAGTCGATACTTCCAAGTGTACTAGAGTCTAGAGATATCAATTCACAACCAGAATGGCTTTATGTGTTCACAGTTCAGGTTCAGGTTCTCATGATGATACACTAGCTAGCTAATGCTAACAACTACTATATATAGCTAATCCTGAAAAAAAATTTAGAACATATATATATGTGGGCACGAAAATCTCATCCCGGTGAAAAAATCATACGACAAGTCAATTGAAAACTTGTTAAAGTGTATGAAACTTTTAGAAACTAAACCTGAATTGAATAAGATCGAGTCAAAGTAAAATGTACATAAAAGAAACTGTAAACCGGTTTATTGGTTTAAATTTGGAAAATATATACCGGTGATTAATGAGGGGAGGAGTCAAATATTTTAGTTTTTTTCTTTCTCTATTTACAATTTATAAAACGGCTACACAAGATCAAATACCATAGTTCCGTTTCATTCCATAGTAAAAGGAAGCGATCTTAATTATTGTTTGTTCATCAATCAAAAACATATATTTGGCTATATACGAACGTCTAAATTAAATCTAAACATCAACTAATTAAATCCATAGACGTTTCTTCAACGTTATCGATACAGTAGCTTTATTTCTTCCCATATAAATAAACTACGATTGTACTATTCGTTCATCCATCAGAACCAACCTTGGCAAATATTTAACATATTTGAGGAGCTCTCTTGCCTAGTTTGGAATAATATCTCATCATGTCTATAAAAAATGTTGTTTGTCTTCTGGTAGCCATATGCGTTGTGGTCTCGGCAAATGCTCAAGCTCAACTACAGCAGTTTCCGGCACCGTTTCCTTTTCCATTTCCATTTCCATTTCAACCAATTCGTGGTGTGCCAGGATTACCTGATATAATGAAATGTTGGTCAGTAATGATGGATATCCCTGGATGTGTTACAGAGATTTCTCAATCGATATTTACCGGCAAGTTTGGTAACATAGGTCCTGCTTGTTGCAAAGCTTTTTTGGATGCCGAAGCCAATTGCATGCCGAAAATCCCATTCATTCCGTTTTTCCCTCCTATGCTAATGCTAAAGGAACGATGTTCAAGAACTGCCGGTGCAGCCCCTCCACAAAATAGAGTTTAAGTTTTAGTTTTTTACTTCTCCTTTTTAAAACAAAACAAAAACAATTTAGCTATTTCAACAATGTTATACCCCAATAAGAATACGACGATATTATAGTAGCACTTTTAAGTTAACCATATCTCATATCAAACATCGAGTTCATTATAAATTAAGTCTCTCAAGATTAAGTTAACCCTCTCAAGATTTTACACTGATAAGTAAAATCCTATTTTAGCAAGTTTCTAATAAAGGCTAATATAATTTTCTAAAACCATAAAGAAGACACAACTAGAATGAGAAGCCCAAAAGCTAAAATCTTCGTGGGCCGAACCGAACCGAACTGAACTCAACTGAACTAAACTAAACTCCGTACTTTTGTTCCGTTCTCTCACTCCTTTTTTTCTCTCTTTCTCCGTCTGTCGCTGTCTCGCTCGTCCTCTCCTCTGTTTCGTAGCTTCTGCAGCAGATCTCTCTTTGTCCTTCTCTCCCTCAGATCACTGTAAGTACACAACTACACTTCTTTCCTCATTCGATCTGTTGTTTCTTTTACTCTTCCTTGATTTGCTCCAATCTAAATCTCTCCCTTTTCTTTCTTTCTATATCGAGCTTGATCTGACTCCTTCTTTTAATATACTTTTTTCTCCTCGATTCGTTTTTGTGAGAAACATGTTCTGCTTTCATTAATTATTGCTACTTCGTTTCTGAATTTGTGTTGTTCTTGCAATAAGTGTTTTGATCTTTATTTTTTTTTAGGGTTTTTGTGTGTGTTTGAGCTTAATTTCATCTTCAACAGTGAAATCATAGACTTTCTATTAGATCGTTGACTTTCGAATTTGCCCTTTAGGTTATTCATCTAAACGATTTAGTTCAGAGAAGATTGTCTCCAAAAATTACTAAAAAAAGACAGCGCATAGCTTGATTAATTGTTAATCTTAAACTGAAGTTAATGTAAAATTTTGATTCTCACTGTGTGTATATATATGTATGTAGATGGCACAGCAGGAAGCTAGCCCTTCCCCTGGTGCTGAGGTTGTTGGTCGTGCCTTTGTGGAGCAATACTATCATATTCTTCACCAATCTCCCGGTTTAGTCTATCGGTTTTATCAGGATTCGAGCTTGTTAACCCGACCTGATGTTACCGGTGCTGTGACTACTGTCACAACTATGCAAGTGAGATGGGATTATATAAGTTAATTACTATAACATTGCCATGTTGTTCTCTTCTAAGTTATATATATATTAATATGGTTCCATTTCGGATTTCAGGCGATCAACGATAAGATTCTTTCATTGAAATATGAAGACTACACGGCCGAGATAGAAACTGCGGATGCTCAGGAGTCTCATGAGAAAGGCGTTATTGTGTTGGTTACAGGACACTTAACCGGAAATGATAATGTGAGGAAGAAGTTCAGTCAAACTTTTTTCTTGGCTCCACAAGACAAGGGATACTTTGTCTTGAATGACGTGTTTCGATTCCTCGAGGAGAAAGAGGTAACCGCACAAGCCCGTTCTGTCACAATCAATGGAACTACCAGGGATGTTCAGGCTCCTGTGGAACCAGGTAAGATGAAAGATCAATGTGTTTTCTTTTTCTTACAACATAGCACATGGTTATATAGGTTAGGATCTTAACATTCCCTTACATCTTGTCAGAACGTGTTGTCGTTAGTCATGAGGCTGAGGTAGAACCTGAGCCAGTTGCTTCTATTGAGGAGGAAGATCTTGACAATGTCGCGGAGGTGTATGATCCTTCTGATAAAGATGAAGGAGTTGTTGTTGACGTTGAGCCTATCAAACCCCCAACTCAATTAAGTCATAATGAAGTTGTATCAGTGTCTCAAGGAGATGCTCCTAAGCATTCTTATGCTTCAATCGTAAGTCAAAACTGCCTACTAACTAACTGTTTTTTTTTCTGTTGTTTCCTAATAATTTTGTCGTTTTTAGTAAACCTTAATGAAGTCTTTATGTGTTTGAACAGCTCAAACTGATGAATAGCGGTCCAGCACCAACACAAGTTGCTCGGAACAAGCCAAGAGCAGCTCCAGTCAGTACCAACCAGAAGCCGACCGGTCGTCCTTCTGAGCCTGTGGCAGCACCCGAGGCTTCAGCTCATGAGAATGTACCAAATAGTAGCCATGTTGATGTGGAAGGTCCGTAAATTCTTTTCATTTTGCTGTTATCCGCAATTCCCTTGGATATTGATTTTGTTACTCTTTGTATTTACTCTTGCAATGTGATTTCAGATGATGGCCATTCTATTTATGTCCGAAATTTACCTTTCGACTCCACACCAACACAACTTGAAGAGGTTTTCAAAAACTTTGGTGCAATCAAGCATGAGGGCATTCAAGTCAGAAGCAATAAGGTTTGATATATAATTCTTTAATCTCTTCCAAAAAAAACGCCTAGCTTATCGGTTCCTTACACGTTTTTGTGACTCTCAGCAGCAAGGTTTCTGTTTTGGTTTTGTGGAATTTGAAACATCTAGCGGAAAGCAGAGTGCGCTTGATGTAAGTCATACCCTTGAACATTATCCTTTTACCTCGTTGAATCCTAAGTCTTTCCGAGCTCGTGCATCTGCTGTATGTTATGGTTTACTTTAAAACTCTTGACTCTTTGGTTGGTACATGTAGGCCTCACCGATTACGATTGGGGATCGCCAAGCTGTTGTAGAGGAAAAGAAAACAAATAGTCGAGGTAAGAAACATGAGAGGCCTCATCAAGAAAAAGCTGGTACATGAGGTTATTGTGTATTGAAAAGATGTAGTTTAATCATTTTTTGGTTGCAGGAGGAGGCAACAACGGAGGCAGTAGGGGAAGGTACTTTTCTGGAAGAGGAAGCTTCCGAAATGAAAGTTTCAAAGGAGGACGTGGTGGTGGAGGAAGAGGGGGAGGCTACGGCAGAGGAGGAGGTGAGTTTTCTGGCAGACCAAAGAGCTCAAACCCACGAAATGGAGGAGAAGGTTACCAAAGGGTTCCTCAAAACGGAGGAGGGGGAAGAGGAGGCCGCGGAGAAGGAGGCCGTGGTGGGCCTCGAGGTGGTGCTTCATCTTGACTTTGATATTAATGGGGGGCCTTCATCCACAAGAGAGTAGTTTTAATTTTTGTTTTTGTTTTGCATCTTTTTTTTCTGCCTACTACTTGAGCTGAGTTGATGTGGCTAGTCCTTTTTGGCCTTTTTTGTTGGTTTAGTTTTCAATATTCTTGCATTTTTTTGCCTTCGTTTTTGTTTTTCATCCTTAAATCTTTCTTTGGGGTACTTACTGTATGTGCCTCGTCATCAACATTCAATTTCATAAGAAATCCATTATAAAGTTGTGTTCTTTATGCAAATATGTTCTTAGTGTTTTTTAAAAAAGTTAGAGCAGAAGAAGTGGACAAGACCGGCTTATTTTGATTCACAGCATTAGGGAAAAGTTGCACATATATAATTGGGATCGAATAAACCAGATTTCTGCAGATTGGATATTTAGAAAAAAAAAAGAGCTGCAGAGCCACCAAGAACAGAAACCTGAGCTTTCAAACATTTTTTAAATTTTGATACATAATTTCAGTCTTTAAGAAACAAAGCTAAAAGAAAAGAAAA